GGCATACACTGACCCCACCTCCTCATCAGTAAATAAATGAATAAAAAGATAAATTCTAACAGCATATACACAAGGTAAATAAAAAAATAACATATTTGAACAAAAATATTTGTGTATGGTTTGTGCACATGTTTACTGGAGGGAGGATCTAACACGTGTCAGTAGGCAAAATAAGAACCAGATAATCTTATATTTTTGGTTTTGAGCCTAGCCTTTAATGGCTGAGCTCTCTTTCCAGCCCAAGAACCAGGTAATCTTGAAGATAGGCCAATTGAGATTATTCCGTCTGAGTAATGGGAAAAAAATCTACTGAAAGGTGTGAAGTTGGATGGGTTGGGCGATGAGAATTGGGGAAAAGATGAAGGAGGTGAAAGTTGATCAGAATGTATTGTATGGAAAATATTTTCAACAACAACAAAATATACTTGGCAGGAAGACAAAATTTGTCAGAGTTCAGGAGATGGCTCCATGTGTAAAAATGCTTGCTGCTCATCTTGACATCCTAACTTTGGTCCCCAGGGTCCACACAGTAAGAGAGAACTGAATCTCACAGGTTGTCCTATGATTTCCATACATGTGCCGTGGCACACATCTGATAATATAAATAAATAAATTAAAAAGAAAAAATGTTAGCACAGAACACCATGAATCATGAGCACACCGAGTGTGAGCACACCGAGCACACCTGAGAATTATAAGGGACAGAGAAAGGGGAACAAAGAACATTTAAAGAAATAACAGCAAAATAACTAAGTCTTCCAAAACTTAGTGCTACACTAGCTAGCAAGAAAGCCTAACCATGCCAGAGCACAGTAAGCTTGATATTTACACTGAGACTCACCTGTTCTTGACAACAGCAAACGAGAAGTAGCTTCACATCCAACAGCACATCAATATAATGAATAGTGCCCCCAGAAAACATGGGGACCTGAAAGTACCGTAGACAACACATTTAAGGCATTGAAAGAAACATTTAAAACCCTGGCAGTGCATAATTGCCTGTGTGATAAAAACAATTATTCCAAAAAGAAGCAGGGGATGGTGTGGCAATGCTATTATCCCAGAAATTGGGATGTAGAAGAGGATCACAAGATTATTCTTTGGTATAGGGAATTCTGGGAGTGCTGAGACTACCAGAAATGCTGTGTGAAAATATTTTTAAAACCCACCTGGAATCATAATGTGAAGTGAGACATGCGCAGTTTTAAAACAATGTAGATTTCACTATATCATTTTCCATAACACTAGTAAAAATAGAGCATCCAGCCAGGAGGTGGTGGCGCACGCCTTTAATCCCAGCACTCGGGAGGCAGAGGCAGGCAGAGCTCTGTGAGTCTAAGGCCAATCTGGTCTACACAGCGAGTTCCAGGACAGGATCTAAAGATACACAGAGAAACCCCGTCTCAAAAAAAAAAGAAAGAAAAGAAAAAGAAAAATAGACCATCCTAAGGTACCACGAACCATCCTAGCCGGGTATGGGGGGTTCCCTGGGATAAGGGTTCTCGAAGACTAGGTGGGTAAGGAATCAGCGGTGACAAACAGAAACAAACACAGGGGCAGTTTGAGTCTGAGTGTATTTTGCAGCTTTTTAGCAAGGCTTTTTATCCAGGATAAAGCATATCTTCTCAGAGTTTGTGTTCAGTAAAACAGACACACGACATCATCATTACTAGGCATAGTAACACACAACTTATCAGAGGCTAATAAAAATGATTAATCAAAAAATCATTCAAGGCTAACCGCAGCTAACCACTTATTTCTAAGAACAGGCTAATAAATTTATATGCTTAGTTATTGTTTGACATCTGTTACCTAGTTCACAATTGTTTGATATCCGTTGCCTAGTCCTTGTAAGTCTTTGAAATACTGAACTATTTTGACTTTTTTCTTATCAAAAATCTTTCTTATTAAAAAGCTTTCTTTACCAAACATTAAAACCACTCTTGATCACACATGTACAGCCATATGAAACTTTATTGTTGAGAAAGTTTGTATCAATACTATTCCTATTTACTTACGTGAATGACGTGAATGATTCGAAAAGCACTGGTTTTCCTGGAGACGAGGTCATGGTCAGTGACCACATCTCAGGGGACAGTTTCTCATTTATATCTTTTGTTTTAAATGTCAGCATCGGCTTTCTGGAACTTTTCATTAATATAGGAAAAGAATAGAAGAACAGAGATTGCCATGAGAACTCTGGCTCAGTATTTTTCTCTGGCCAAGAGTTCCACAACGGTTTCAGGAGACCTCCTTCTTTTCGAGTTATGGCCTCAGTGTGTGGAACTTGTCACACAGAATCTACTGGATTTGATGTGGCACTAAGGCAAAGCGAACTTGTTATGATAAAGCACCAAGGGGACCTTGGTGGATGCCATGGAAGGCGAGGTTGACCGAGGCAGAGGACAAACATGCCATGCAGACAGACCTTAGTGAGAAGTTTTATTTAAAAAGGGAAGACAGTAGGAAAGAGGAAAGAGACACAGACACATTGAGATAGAGAGAAGAGACGAGAAGAGGGAGAGAGGAAAATTCCTGTCTGCCCCCAGGGGAACTGAGGGGAAAGAAAGGGTGGAAAAGAGAGAGGAAAGAAAGGAGTAGGGGGGACTGGAGAGATGGCTCAGAGGTTAAGAGCACCAACTGCTCTTCCAGGGGGCCTGAGTTCAATTCCCAGCCCCCACATGGTGGCTCACAAGCATCCATTATGAGATCTGGTGCCCTCTTCTGGTGTGCAGATATACATGGAAGCAGAGTGTTGTATACATAATAAAGAAATAAAATCTTTTAAAAAAGAAATGAGCAGGGAAAGAGAGAAGCAGGAAAGAGACTGGAAAGAGAGGAGTGGGGAAGAGAGCGTAAGTGGGCGGGTCTCTGTCTTTTAAAGGGGTCCTTTGTACCTGCATGCAGACTGCAAAACCATAGAACCAGGAAACTGAGTGACAGGGGCAGGCCAGCATAACGCCTAAATCCTTATAGAACTCACTAGAATAAAGCCTCATAGGCAAACTGTGCATTCTAACCACAAGCAGTAATATACACATTTTTTTCAAGCATCCATGGAATATTCTCCAGGTAGATTACATAATATGACAAAAACACATGTTAGTGAATTTTAAAAATAAAATCAGGCCACTTGTTACTTCTTTACTGTAAATAGCAATCTCATAATTGGGGGAAAGAAATGGTTGTCTTTTCTTTTTTTAGACAGAGTGTCATTTTCTATTTTTAGATAGTGTCATGTGTCCCTCACGGAACACAAACTCACTTTGTAGACTAGGATGACTCTGGCATTACAGCAGCCACCTCCTCAAGTGCTAGCATTGCAGGACTGGCACACACCACATTGACTCTATGCAGCTCATAGGGATCGTGTGCTTTGAAGCATGCTAGGTAAGGACAATGCCAACTGCACTACAACCTCAGCCCAGAAATGTATGTTTTTACTGTTTTGGTCAGACTAGAAAGAAACAATTCTAATGTTCTTGATACTTTGACAAGAGCGATGTCAGTATTTAGAGTAAAGGGGGAAGAAAACCCAGGAAAGATAAATGGTAGACTTAGTTGTGAGACGGTTACCAGAACTGTGGGGTAAGTCTTACCCTGGAAGAATTCCAGCACCAGGGCTCCAGAATATTCCCACCCCAAAATAGGAACTGCCTGCACACATGCTAATACTTTACGGCCCCTTCTATTTTAAGAGTGACCAGAACATGTTGAAAAGAGCTGGCTTCTTGGGAACCAGTCTGACCACATGCCAGCAAAGGGGCTGCTTGAATGACAGTTCTGGGATGGAGACCAGGGTGTAAAGGCCTGCTCTTCACACTTAGACCTTTCAGAAAAGACATTAGAAGTGTGTGTGTGTGTGTGTGTGTGTGTGTGTGTGTGTGTGTGTGTGTGTGTATGCGCGTGCGCGCGCTCACGTGCATGCGTGCACGCGTATTCAAGAGAAAGGTAAGGAACCTCAGAACAGTTATGACAATTCTTTCAGCTTTTGGCAGTACTTAGTAACTAATCTTCTCCTCAGTCAGGCTGGTGAAGTCGAATCCTCTCATCTGCTTAGCAGGTTCTGCAAGCTACCCGAGCTCCTGGAAAGGCAGAGCATGGAAGCACCATAGGCTCTAACTGAGCTATTTTCCTATTGCTTAACGAGACACCAGCACAATGGCAACTTATAAAAGAAAATATTTAACTGATGGCTTGCTTACAGGTTCAGAGAGTGAATGCATGAGCAATATGACAGGAAGGAAGGCAGCAGGCAGGCAGACAGGCATGGCACTGGGGCAGTAGCTGAGAGCTGACATCTTCATCAAGAAGCATTCAGAGAAGGGGGTGAGATTAACTGAGAATGCTGTGGGCCTTTGAAACCTCAAAGCCAACCTCCAACAACATGTCTCTTCCAACAAGGCTTAGCCCCCAGTCCTTTCCAAATAGTTCCAGCAACTGGGGACCAAGCATAACAATATATGAGCCTATGGGAGCCATTCTCATTCAAACCACCACAGGACCTAACTTCGCCTTCTGTGAAAATCCAAAGGAAGAGGCCTCCTAGATAATCACATTAATTTATTTATTTTCTCTGCCAACTACCAAGGACGTAATGTGGAACAATAAACAAAGACGTAATACTCCAAATATTTCCCCAAGGCCTCCAGAGATACTGGGGCATCTTTTCTTACTCCCTGGAGATTGATTCCCATAGTTGACCACAAACCCTTCCCAAAGCCAGAGGACTCAGCGGAGATGCTGCTTAAAAGGGGCACTGCTGTATCTCTACCTGCCCAAGGACCGTGCCCTCCCTGCAAATATATCCTGCTCACTGAAGCATCAAACTGCTCTTCTTTGGGCACCTCAGGCCTCAAGCACCAGGACAGTACATCTATAACTGGATACATAGTAATGGGGAGTAGGCTGCAAGAATTCTATTCCCGGTCAAGGATCACAGTTCTACTCCATAACGGACTAGCAGAGGTTCCAGTTCAGTGTATACAGGTAGAGCAAAAATGGAGAGCATCCAAGGTATGGAGTGTTGTTACAAGATCAACTAAGTGTTCAAGCTGGGAGTTGATGAGGGAATAGGAGGGAGTGGTCAGTAAGCGGTTGGGGGTGGTGGTTTAACAATCTCCATGAGAGGAAGGGTTCTGGAGAGATGGCTGGATAAGCCGGGCCGAGGCTTCACACTTCGGCTTCACTGAGATTTCACACCTCCACTGGGCCCCTGCCCCAGTGCCTCTTCTTTTTGTTTCCCCACTTCCAGGTATGAAGCTTTTACTAGCTCAAGAGGAAAGAAATGAGGAAGAGAGTGGACATGGCGAGCCAGCAACTCAAGGGGAAAGTGAAAGGGGATTAAGTGGAGAAGGCCACTCGGCTGCTGCGGCTTCAGGCCTCGTGGATGATGACATGAACAAGGACGGTGGTGGAGCCAGAGCAGGCCAGGAGAGTGAGCAGCAACCAAATGAGCCAATTCCTGGGGGCATGGATGGCGAGACAGTGCAGTCTGTGCCAAGGCAGGTGCCTCGACGTCGCCTACACCATAGATTTACTCAGTGGCAGCTGGAGGAACTGGAGCGCATTTTCCAGACCAATTGCTTCTTCAGCATAGAAGCAAGGTGAGGATTTTGCCTGACTTTGATGCCTGGCTTAATGTCCTGTTTGAGGGGAGCGCGCCCTGGTCCATGATGAACCGTTGACTTTCTTCCTGGGCCCTCACATGCCCTCTTTTTTTTTTAACGTATTATTTATTTAATTTCATTTATTTGGTGTGTGTGTGTGTGTGTGTGCCTACATACCATTTGGCACATGTGGAGGCCAGAGGACACTTGCAGGAGTGAGTTCTATGATCCACCATGTAGATGTGGAACATGGAACTCAGGTCATCAAGCTTTCAGGCAAGCAGTTTCCCACTTTGCCACCTTGTCAGTCCCCACAAACACTTGCCTCTTGAAATAATAGTCACCTGGAAAATTCGGGCTGCTGGATCTTGTGTCGTGCACTACAATTGTGGGATAGGGGTGAATGGGAATGAAGGTTTTTACATATAATATGTACATATATCAAGTGGTAGACTTCAGGTAATGTCTGCTATATTAGGAAGATCCTCTTAATAGAGGTGTGCAAGGCTGAGGAATGCTTAGGATAGTACAGAGTGACATCCTGCTCTTGTTAAAAGGTTTGATAAACCTGTATACCATGCATTTTTCTTTTTAATTTTTATAATTATAAGCTCATTGGAACATTTCTCTCTTTAACCCCCACCTCCGAGGTCTCACTATGAAACCCTTCCTGGCCTAGAACTCACATTTGAGCCAGGAGAGCAGACTGGCCTCAAACCCACAGACATCCTCCTACCTCTGTTTCCCCAGTGCTGGGACTAAATGCACTGCCAAGCCTGGCCCCCAACTTTCTCCTACTATTTTTGGCCTCCCTTTTTGTCACCTTTTCCACAGCAAAGTGTCCATAAAACAATACTTAATATTGAGCTGAGATCTAAGACATGCTCTAGCTTATCTGGGTTTCTCTTTCTGTTTATTCTTATTTTCTGATGGGTGATCTCACTCTGTACTCCAGGCTGGCCTGGAACTTACAAAGACCCATTACCTGAGCCTCCTTTATTTTGGGAATTCACGAAGGGACTACCAGTATTGTGGAGGGTTTTTTTAAATGTTCCTTTTCTGTTGTGCTTTGAATATTTTACTACCCAAGGCTAGCAAGATGTTCAGTGAGTAAATGCACTTGCTATCAAGCTGGAGAACCTGAGTTCCATCCTCAGAATCCCCATCAATGGTGGAAGAAGGAAATTAACTTCTGCCAGGTGTCCTCTAGCCTGCGCATGTTTACCATAGTACTGGAGCACACATGTGCGTGCATACACACACACCAAATAATTTTAAAAATGTAATATTCAATTTCCTCCAATGATCAGCACATTGGACATCCTCATGCATTAACTGAATATTAGAAATTCTCATGTGCCCTTTATTCACCCATCTTCTTTTGAGTTTATCCTTCTGTCCTGACCAACAGTCACACACAGGCTTTCGTGTGTGCACTTGCTTTGTAGCTTTTGTTTTGTTTTGTTTTCTGAGGCAAAGTCTCCACACCCAGTGTTAGGAGCATTTCTTTCGAGATTGTTGGCACCCGCACTGGTGCTTTTAAAATTGCTTATTAGGGATGTCCTTGGGTTTTCATATCTGGTTCATTAATAATAAAATAAAATAGCTTGTAGAACTTGTTTAAAGCTTCAAAACCTTCAAGGTTAATGTCACAGAAGGTGGGTGATGAGACTAACATTTTAAAACAAATATATGTCCTTCACATATTATTTCATTTATAGTGCTGAATACTGAATATCTGCCCTTTTACCCTCAGAAAACAACTAGCCAGATGGATGGGAGTGAATGAAGCCACAGTGAAGGTCAGTAAACTGAAGAAAGCCATTTGGCAGGACAGCCACTGTAGAACTTGCTTTAGGTACTAGAAATTTCTCCATGAAATGATGTTGTTGTTGACATACCACTGTTTCAAAATGAGTTTTTAAGATTTATTTTTACAATTTATTATGTGTGTGTGTTTGTGCATATACAACATGTGTGCAAGTACTTAAAGAATCCAGAAGATGCAGTAAATCCCCTGGAGCTGCAGTTACAGGTGGTCATGATCCACCCACAATAGGTGCTGGGAACCAAACTCTGGTCCTTTGCAAGAGCTGAGCATCTCTGCATTCCTCTCAGAATGACTTTTGAGCTTTGTGGTCTTTGTGAGTAGAAACGGAATAAGGAAGCCTCCCTACAGAAAGAGCATATTTCTTTTAAAATGAAACATAAGCTTCTAAAGAAATAAAGAATAGCACTAAACTACTTTTTCTCCATTGACACATATAGGTTACCCATACATGTATCCTATGGGTAAATTGCAAACATACCCATTTTAAATTATAAAATGGGTATATATACATATACAGTTATGTTAATAACAGTTAAATAAATATATATTCCATATGTAACTATATTCAACTCCTTGTAATACTGATATCCTTTAGGTAGGGTTTTTCTGTGGAGTCATACTGGGTTTGTGGTATATAAATTATTCAAATTAATGTAGCTAGTGACTCAATAATCCTGAACTATTTGAAATACTGAAAACCAAGCAAAATTGTATCCTTACAGGAGCAGTTTCAGTGAGGTGATAGTTCACAGGCAGAACCCAGAACTATAAAGCTGATGTAAACACTGGTTCATCTGCCTGACAGTGCTGCTAACTTCCTCCAGTTTGCACTACAGGAGAGAGGGGGAAAGGGCCTGCAACCTTTGCACATTTGTCCTGGGACTATTCTGCAGTGCTGGGGTAGGAACCAGGGCCTCCCACATTCTAGGCACGTGCTGGATTCCATGCCAGCCCCTCAGCTCCTCACAGAATTGGAACAATGGGACAGCAGGTTCTTCCGTACAATCTAAATGATTGCTGATATGTAAGGTTACATGATATGCTTTTCAATTGTGGTCCTAAAAGTTTACTACGCTGAACCAATTCCTTTTTTTCCAATCACTGTAGAGATGGTTTCAGAAGAGGAGAGAACAGTACAGAAGATATAAAAGGCTGTAGGCACTCTGAGGTTCTCCTCCTGCTTCCTAGGACATCTTTCTCCGAAGCCCGTGGAGGAGCCCTAGAGAGCCACTCTTACCCAAGTACCGGCTACAAATGATTTCTGCCACCAACAATATGTTATTTCTTATCTTCTAAGTGCTTGTATTTCAATAAATATTATGAGTTTCAGTAAGTTTGTTTCATGTGCCTTCTGGTTTAGTAAAATATGTGTGTGAGCTATCAAGGAAATTTCCTTTAACCAGAATGACAAGGCCTCCTTGCATGACATGGAATTGCGGTTCTACCTTAGGCAGGCCTTTTATATCACAAGAGCTTTCCCGGTTGCATAGTAGGCTTTCACTGACCCACACATTCTTTTTTGTTCACCTATCATGCTGGGCTCACTCATTCTCTTACCATTTAGGACCAAAACTATACAAGAGAGGCAGGGCAAGACCCTAGGGAGAGACACTTTTTATCCAGACACAGCTGATTCTGGCCATACTCGGATTTTTATTTCAACCCTTGTAGGGGAAACCATAACCACAACTGCTTGGGCGTGGTCAGGGTGACGTAGGGAAGGTTTAAGAGTGAGGGGCGCACACTTGGAAGGCCCCTTCTTCCGTTTCATCTTCGGCTTGCTGTACTTACTGCTGCCCCGCCAGCTGGCTAGGTTGCTCTGTAAGTAAGGCTTTTCCCTATTAAATACCCTTATGTTTTTACCTGGTTCCGTATTGGTAATTCCCACAATAAACCCTGATCTCTGAGATGTTTCCTTATAGACATTCATAAGACTCTTGGGAAACAGAACAGTGTCTTTTTTCATTTGGGCTGCTCCACAAACTCTTGTATCCCTTTCCATAGCATATACAGGGCACTTTAGCCACTCTGCCAGAAGTCTTGCTGCTTCAAAGAGAAGAACCCATCCCTTCCAGGTCATAATGAAGCTTCTTTCTATTTATTGTCCCCCAACCCAAACCCAGTAGGCATATTGTCCCTCTTCCCCAGAGCACGAGCTGACACTTAAGATGGCGTCTCAAAGTATACATTTCTTGTGATTTCAGAATGAGACTAATAGTTAAAATCTTGTTTTTTCTTAAATTTTTTGTTTTTTTTCTTTCTATCCGTTTCTATTTAAACTAGAAACAAGATTATTTTATATATCAATCCCAGTTCCCTCCTGTCCTCCCCTCCTGCCCTGCACCCCTCCAACTAAAACCCTACCTATCCCATACCCTTGCTGCTTTCCAGGGAGGGGAGGGTGAGGCCTTCTTCAGAGCCTGTCATATCCTTTGGGATAGGGCCTAGACCCACCCCTGTGTGTCTAGGCTCAGGGAGTATCCCTTTATGTGGAATGGCTCCCAAAGTCCATACCTATGCTAGGAATAAGTACTGATCTACTACAGGAGGCCCCATAGATTTCTGAGGTCTCCTCACTGACACCCACGTTCATGGGGTCTGGATCAGTCCCATGCTGGTTTCCCAGCTATCAGTCTGGGGACCATGAACTCCCCGTTGTTCAGGTCAGCTGTTTCTGTGGGTTTCTCCAGCCTGGTCTTGACCACTTTGCTCATCACTCCTCCTTCTCTGCAATTGGATTCTAGTTCAGTTCAGTGTTTACCTGTGGGTATCTGCTTCTGCTTCCACCAGCTGCTGGGTGAAGGCTATGGGATGGCATATAAGTAAGTCATCAATCTCATTATCTGGGGAGGGCATTTAAGGTAGCCTCTCAGCTATTGCTTAGATTGTTAGTTGGGGTCAAACTTTTATATCTACAGACATTTCTCTAGTGCCTAATTTCTCTTTAAACCTATAATGGCTCCCTGTATTATGGTATCTCTTATCTTGCTCTCCTCTATTCTTCCCCTGACTCAAACTTCCTGGTAGAGGTAACCCAGTCACAAAAAGACAAACATGGTATGTACTGACTCGTATATGGATTTTAGACATAGAGTAAAGGATTACCAGACTACAATCCACACTGCCAGAGAAGCTAGGAAACAAGGAGGATCCTAAGAGAGACATACATGGTCCCCTGGAGAAGGGGAAAGGGACAAGATCTCCTGAGCTAATTGGGAGCATGGGGGAGGGGCAGAGAGCTAGGAGAATGAGAAGGGTTTTTTTCAATATTGTAACTTCTTAAATAGTTCCTGGTAAATGAGATACCCCTTAAAAATTCAAGAAACACCCGTGTTACTTGAATTACTGTATCCACCTTGTACCTGGAATCTTCCAGAGCCACAGATGATGTGGAGAGACACTGGGAAGAATCAGGCTGTCTCTACCTGCAAAGCCCATAGTCCCAATGACTTCATTACCGATGCAGAAGTTGGCAAACCCCCCCCCCACACACACACACACACCCTGTGCAGGGCTGGAATTCCTCAGTAGCTGCTTGGTCAGACTTAGACCCCAGCTGCTTGTACCTCCTGTTGTGCTCTGTCCCTCACTTTCCAGCCTGGAAACAGAGGCTGATACTCCCAAGAGAGGCAAGAGTGGCATCCTTCACTGAAGTGAGCAGAGAGAGGCCTGGGGTGACATCTGTTCTCCGGATGTAGAGCACATAGCTAACATATGCAGACTGCAGAATGCCTCCATTTCAAAAGTGAATTTTCTGATACAAATATACAATGGCAACACACTAGAGCTGACCCTATTGCCAGGGACCCATTGAGCCAGCTCTGGGGGTGTGAGAACAACAAAGCTGACCCTGCTCTCCCTCATATGCCACCCCTTACTATGAGAGAGAGCTGGCCCCAGGGTCATGAGAGGGAGAGAACTAGCCCTGCCCCCATCAGCTGCAGCACACAGGCCAGCAGGCCTCACACCTCACCTGGGCAGCACAGTAGAGCTGACTCTGTTGTCAGATGTGCAGATGAACCAGCCCTGAGGGCATGAGAACCTGAGCGCTGACTCCCCTCACCCAGTATGCCTCCTACAGCAATCAGGAGACAGGGCCCTGCACCTTGCCTGGGTAAAACAGTAGAGCTGGCCCTGGTGGTGTGAAGTGAATGGGATCTGAGGACCAGGAGAACTGGCCCTGCTCCTTGCTTCAGGCTGCACTAGGTGAGCTAGCCTGGGCAATGTTGGAGAGCTTGCCCCGGTAGTGTCCATGAGGGAAAGCTGGCAGGCTGACCAAACCAGCTACAGCCCCGGCCCAGAATCAGGACTATGAGTTATCCCACCCCAACATCCGCCTCATCTACAAACTGCTAGAGCATGTGAAGGGACCAGACCTGCAGATCTAAAGCTACAGGATCTCCAGGACACAGGGCAACAAGATATCCAAGAGGAGCCCCAGTGAAAGCCCATTATTAGTGGGGTAACAGAAGCCAGAGGCCTGGAACCAGACTGATGACTCATTGCAATAAAAACAAGTAAAGATGAATGGACTAAAGGGTAAAACTGTGTGACTCAACTGGCCACACTACAGTTTCCACAAGAAGAATTTTCTCCTTTTTTTTTTTTTTTTTTTGGATTGTTTCGTTTTTGCTTTTATTTTTGTTTTTGTTTCTTAATCGGGTTTTTGTTTGGGGGATAGGTTGCAAGGGCAGAGAGTGGATTCGAGGAGATGGGGAGATAAGTGAGATGGGAATGCATGATGTGAAATCCACAAAGAATCAATAAAAGTTCTTAAAAAAGAATCAGAGAGATCAACTCACTTACACACTTGAAGCACATGGCAGCTCACAAGCATCTTTAACTCCAGTCCCAGGGATCCACTACCCTCTTTTGGACTGCTCAGGTACTGCTTGCACAGGGTGCACAGACATCCATGCATACAAAACCCCCCATGCATATAAAATAAAAGCATTTTAAAAACAAAATCTAGAAAAATATACAGACAAGTAAAATCCAAAGAAGCTTCCCATGACCTTGATGTCAGACAAAATTAAATTCTAGGCAACTTCAGTGAGCCTTCAAAATCATATAAACTGAGATCAAAATGGGGAGATAATATCTTACTTCCAAATAACATTTTTGGTTTTTCTTAATGGTGATAGTGTGTTGGTGGGGTGTACATGTGTGTTCGTGTGTGTGGAAGCCAGATGTCTATGCCACGTGTCTTTCTCAATTGGTCTCTACCTCTTTGTTCTGGGGTAGGGAGTTCTAGACCAGGTTTCTCTGTGTAGCCCTGGCTATCCTGGAACTCACTCTGTAGACCAGGCTGACCTTAAACTAAGAGAAACAAGCCTGCCTCTGCCTCCCGAGTGCTTTTTAAAGATGTGTGCCACCACCTCCCGGTTCTCTGCCTTATTTTTTGAGACAAAGTCTCTCACTGAGCCTGGAGCCCCCCAGTTCAGCCAGTTAGCCCTGGGGTCTTTGTATCTCCACCCACACCTAACTCCATCAGAACTGGGTTTAGAGATGGCTGCTGCAACTGCATCCCGTCACCTTTTTACAGGAATGAAAGAAAATATAATTGCAAGTCAAATGCAGGCATATGTTAAAAAGTTCAACCAAGTGTCAGGATTCGAAATCAAATAACAAAACCAGGCCAGATGGTGGTGTCACACTCCCAATACCAGGCATGAGAAACCCCAATTCAAATTGTTGGCCAGGGCAGCTGGAGAGAGTCAAAAACTCTGAAAATCATCTGACTACTTCTGTGGCTCTTAGTGACCTCCCAGAACTGACGGTTAGTCTGTATTGCTGGAGACAGGACACACTCACACAAAGGTCTTGGAGGAATCCAGCTGGATATGACCTGGACGCCTCCCCCAGCCCAGAACCAGCTTTCATAGTGTGTCAGAAAATGCTATACAAGCTGCAAAGGATTGCAATCAGTAGTCCTACCCAGCTAAAACTCCTATGTCCATTGTAACCACAAGCAGTAAAATACACTTTTTTTCAAATATACTAGGACATTTTTGAGGATAGATTACATGTTAAGACAAGGAGCATATCTCAGTGAATTCAAAAATTAAATCAGGTCCATTGTCCACTATCTTATTTGAAAATGGAGATACTGGAATTTGGGGGAAGATATGGATTTTTTTAGACAGTGTGCATGTGTCCCAAGCTAGGTTCATACAAACTCTGTAGCTGCAGGTGAAGTTCTGATCTTTCTGCCTCTACCTCCTGAGCACTAAGATTACAGGCACTGAGAGACTGAGACTCCATGCTGGCTTTATACAGTGCTGGCGAGTAGCTATCAATGGAGTTATGTATGCTAGGCAAGGACTCTATGCAATGAACTATACACTAACACAGAAATGGATATCTTTGCAATCTTGAGAAAAATTCAAGAGAAAAAGATTCTCAGGTTCTGTGCACCTTGACAACAGCAGTTTGGGGCTACACAGCAGAGAGCAAAGGGCAGGAAATACACATATGTAGATTTAGTTGTAAGGTATTTCTAGAATTCTGAGGTATGTCTTTTGGTGGGAAGAAGATCTCCTATAAAAAGGAACCGCCCGGAGATATCCTAGTTCTTTGGGGCCCTTTCTAGTCTCAGAGAGACCAGAACATGTTGGGGAAAATTGGCTGCCTTGGGACCAGTCTGACCACATGCCAGTGAAGGGGCTGCTTGACTGACAGTTCCTGGATGGAGACCAAGGTCCACTCTTGAGCCTTTGATCATTCAGAGAAGATATTAGAAGTGTGTGTGTGTGTGTGTGTGTGTGTGTGTGTGTGTGTGTGTGTGTCTGTGTTCAAGAGAAAGGGGAGAAACTTCCTTGCAGATATGTCAGTTATCACAGGTTGAACAGTAATTAACAGCACTAACAAGGCTCAACGGTACTACTAAACCCCAATCCAAGCCCAAATGCCTGTAAACATAGACCATGCAAATAAGACAGACTCTAACTTCACTTTCTATGAAAGCACAAAGGAAAAGACTTCGTGGATAATCTTTAATTTCTGTTCTCTGTCAAGTAGCAGGTGCCTAATGTGATTGTCTCACTGTGGTTCTGGCTGGCCTGGAAATCACCATGTAAACCAGTCTGGCCTGGAACTCACAAGAGATCCACTTTCTTTTGTCCCCAGGGTATTGGAATTAAAGTCATGGAAAAGCACACCCAACTTATCAAATGCTAGTCTAAAAACATTTCTCTAAGGCCTCCAGAGCTTTTCTTCCTTACTATTAGTCAGTGGGCACAGTTGACCACCATGCCTTCCCCGGGAAGATAATTCACTAAGGCGAAACTGCAACTTGGAGAGTCTCCTGTGCATCCCGATAAGACCTTCCCTGCAAACACATCCTGCTCTTTGCTGCACCAAACTGCCCTGTTTTTCACTTCAGGGGCTCAACCCCTAGCAGCAGGAGGTCAAATGGTAGCCAGGATAGCACGCTCATGATTGGATAGCTAGCAACCTGTACAACAGGCCCCCAGGGCCAAACAAGAACTCTTCCTGGTTAAGAAGCACAGACTTTCGTAACCGCAGGAGCTCCAACTCAGAATCTGTTGAAGCAAACTAACTGCAAGTGAACATTCAGGACATGGAGCGCCAAAACGCCAACTACCTGCTTCATGAGGGACTTGATGAGGATGAAGAAAAATTGAATGGTTAGTTTGTGCTGGGAATGGTGGGATGGAGATGTCCAAGAGAGGAGGAGTGTCCCACAGACACGACTAGACAGGCACTGTACTGCTTGCTGGCTTTGCTGCGACTTCACGGCACCCTCAGACTGCCCTGGACTCTGACACCTGTTTTCTGTTTCCCCACTTCCAGGTGTGAAGGCACCCGTGGTCTTGCTGGCTGGAGAGGGAAGAAATGAGAAAGAGAGTGGACAGGGCCAGCCTGGGCAGGGAGCCGCAGCCGCAGAAGGGGAAGGAGCAGGAGAATTAAGCGGAGAAGGTCCCTCTGCTGCTGGTGCTGAAGGCCTCGTGGATGACAGGAGCCAGGAGGACCGTGGCTCAAAGGGCGGTGAACAGAATGAGGGGCAACCTTGGGAGCCATTTTGCGAGGTCATGGGGGTTGCAGAAAATGTGCAACCTGTGTCCGTGCTGGTGCGCCAGCGTTGCTTCCACTACAAGTTCACCCAGTGGCAGTTACAGGAGCTGGAGCGATTTTTCCAGCAAAGTCACTACATCAGTGCAGAAGTAAGGTAAGCAGATAACCTGGCCTGACACCCAGTTTCCTGTGAGCACATGGTGTCCCAGGATGGCTTTCGGCTCTCTCCCTGGTCCTCCTCCTGCCACCCCTTAAAAGCTGCATTTTTTTGAGACAGGATTTCACTGTGTACCCTCGGCTGTCCTGGAACTCAGTCTGTAGACCAGGCTGGCCTCAAACTCACAGAGATTCGCCTGCCTCTGACTCTTGAGTGCTGAGATTAAAGGTGTGCGCCACCACTACCAGGCAACAAAAATTGCATATTTATTTATCCATTCATTTGTTTTATTTGTGGGTATGGTAATGTGTTTCTGTGGGTGTAGGGTGTCACTTGACACATGTGGAGGTCAGAATACAACTTGAGTTAGTCCCTTCTCTCCTTCCACCATGTGAATCCCAGGATCAAATTCGGGCCATGGGGCTTGTTGACAAGTCACCTTTACCTTCTGAACTATCTCTTCAGCCTATCTCTTATCCTATCTAAATAAAAACCCCTTCCCAAAGCAAGGCTGCCAGACTCCTGCATCCTGCACTAGTGTGCTGAGGTAGGGGTGAGAGTCGTGCAAAAACGGGTGTAGCTGAGAGTTTTATGTCAACTTGACATAAGCAAGAGTCATCAGAAAGGAGGGAGGCTCAACTAAGAAAATGCCTCCATAAGTCAGGCTGTAGACAAGCTTGCAGGGTATTTTCTTAATTAGTGATTCATGTGAGAGGGCCCAGCCCATTGTGGGTGGTGCCGTCCCTAGGCTGATTGGTCATTCTGGGTTCTATAAGAGAGCAGGCTGAGGAGCAAGCCAGTAAGCAGCACCCTCTATGGCCTCTGCCCCCAGGTTCCTGTCCCATTTGAGTTCCCGTGCTGACTTCCTCCAGTGATCTTCTGGAAGTGTAAACTACATAAAAACTTTCCTCCCCAATCTGCTTTTGGTCATGGTGTTTTCATCATAGCAATAGTAACCCTAACTAAGACAATGAGAATGAAGGTATTTTCATATAGTATTTCAATGAATCAGAGTGGAAAACTTTGGGCAATGTCTTCTATGAGTAAGATTCCATTCAAAGAAATGTGAAAGATCAAATGGTTAAAATAATAGACAGGTGACATTCTTGGTAGGAGAAAAGGACCAACACCCATCAGTTGCCCTTTGAGCAGCACAGGTACACCATAGCACAGGTATACACACCCCTACACCTATGGGATGCATGTACTAACACACTAATAAATTAACAAATAAATGTAACGTGTCATTTCCCTAGTGATGAGCAGACCGAACATCGTCATGATGTTAGGAGTTAAGTGAATATTGGGAATCTTTAGTTCAGCAGTAGCGGCGCACACCTTTAATCCCAGCACTCAGGAAGCACAGGCAGGCGGATCTCTGTGAGTTCGAGCAGGCGCTGGTCTGTAGACTGAGCTCCAGGACAGCCAGGGCTACACAAAGAAAGCCTGTCTTGAAAAAAACCAAACCAAAACAACAAAAAAGAAATCTCCAGATGCTTCCCATTTGAGTTCACCCTTCAGTCCTGACAAAATGCCTTGCACAGATTTTTCCTGCTTGTGTTTCTTTCATAACTTTTGCTTTATTATTTGAGAAAGTGTCCCATACCACCTCACTTGATGCTAGGAGCATTTCTTTTAAGGTTTTTTGCTGTCCATATTAGTGTTTTTCAAACTGCTTATTAGGGTTGGGGTTAGTTTTTATGTCTGCTAATGGTGGATAGCAAATAAAACAAAATGACCAGTAGAACTTTTTAAGCCTCAAAATCTTCAAGGTGAATGTCACAGAAAGTGAAGGATGGGACAAACATTGAAAAACAAATATAAAGTATCCTTCACATAGTTGATTTCATCCAAGATGCCCAGGACTGAACATCTGCTATTTTTGCCCTCAGAAAACAGCTGGCAAGATGGATAGGTGTGACTGAAGCAAGAGTTCAGGTAAGAAGACAATTTGGCCACACAGCCACTCTAGAACTTGCTTCATATCTTGGATACTTTCGTCCTGCGGGTAAAGGTGTGTTGTGTTTCTCACCTGATCAGGTTTCAAAATGACATGCTTTTCAAAGATATTTTTTAACAATTCATGTATAATCGATGTGACTGTGTCTGTTTGCAACATGTATGCAGGTACCCTCAGAGGCCAGAAGAGGGAGTCAAATCCCCCGGAGCTTGAATTACAGGTGGTTGAGAGGTGCCTTGTATAGTTGATGGGAATGAAATTTTGGTCCCCTACAGGAGCAGCAAGTACTTTTAACTCTTAGAGATCTCTACAGTGCCCTTGAGATGACTTTTGAGCTTTCTATTATTTGTGGGTAAAAAAAAATGGAAGAAGAAAGGCCAACCTACTAGAAATGGCTCGTTTCAAAATGAAGCTCAACTTCCAAAAGCCACACAGAATAGTACTAAGCTACTTTCACCCCTTAGACATATGTGGATCACAATATATGTATCCTCAGATAAATTAGGAATATGCGTTTTAACATGAAATATGTACACATTCTATGCATTACTAATTGCATTAATAACATTGATAAAGAAATGTGTGTGTGACTCCTTGTAATGTTAATATCCTTCAGATAGAATGTCTTTGTGGAGACACCCCTCTGGTGTTATGACATACATTATTAGATTCAAATTAACTTTGAATTAATTTAAATAGAATCAGGGTTTCCATGATCCTAGACTATTAGAAATACTAAAAACTACACATAAATTCTATCCTTACCGGGGCAATTTGAGTGTGTGGATAGTTCACAGGAAGAACCTCTCCCTCATAAAGCTGGAGTAAACTTGTTTAACAGAGACTGTTGGGAATGGGCGAGCACAGAGTCCAAAGGTGCGGTCCTCCTGCTGTTTGAAGCACCTGGTGAGGACACACAGATAAGGGCAGCCAGCATTATAATTGTCTGAAGCACGCTGGTTCATCTGCCTGACAGTGCTGCTAACTTCCTCCAGTTTGCACTACAGGAGAGAGGGGGAAAGGGCCTGCAACCTTTGCACATTTGTCCAGGGACTATTCTGCAGTGCTGGGGTGGGAACCAGGGCCTCCCACATTCTAGGGAAGCGCTGGACCCTGTGTCAGCCCCTCAGCTCCTCACAGAGTTGGAGCAGTGAGACAGCAGGTTCTTCCGTGCAATCTAAATTATAGGGAGCAGCTCACCTTACATGGTGTGTTTTCTGATTATTATCGTGATTACTATGGTGAACCAATTCTTTCTGGCTTGCAGAATTGGTTTAAGGGGAGACGAGAACAATACAGGAGAGATCAGAAGCTGTAAGTGTGCAGAGGTGCTTTTTTCCCTGAAGACTTTGGAGGAGTCCTAGAGAACCACCCTTGCCCAGAAGCCAGAGCCTGATAAGCTTTGGCTGCCGCTAACACTCTTATACTCTCAACATCGTATTTTCAATAAACAGCTGAATTCTCTGTGCATTTGCTCCATTTTTCAAGAATTAGTGAGATGTGTGTGTAAGCTATCAAGGAACTGTCCTTTAAACACAATGACAATGTCTCTTGCTGTAAAATGACACCACTCAGTCAGCATCAGTATGTCCTTGGCGTTTCCCAAATACCATAGTAGGTTTGCACTGACTCACATTCTTTTCTGACCCACTATCATGCTGTCCACATCTCCCACTCTTAACTTGTCAAACCACAAATGTAGAAGGAGGAGAAGCCCCTAGCAAGAGCTGTCTCTGGCCCTCACCAACTGTAGCAATCGGGTGAGCAGGCTCTCTGCACCTCTCCTGAGCAAAACAGTAGAGCTGGCCCTGGTGGTGTAAGTGTGGATGAGCTGGATCCAAGGTGAAGGAGCATAACTATCCCACTGTTTGCTGTCTGCTGCATTGGGTGAGCTAGCTGGGGCAGTTCTGGAGAGCTCCCCCTGGTGGTGATGATGAGGGAGAGCTAACAGGCTGACCAACCCAGCTACCACTCAGGCCCAGAACCAGGGCTGTGAGTTAGCCCACCCCAACATCCACCTCATCTGTGATCTGCTGGAGCATGTGAAGGGAAGGTACCTGCAGATCCAAAGCTGCAGGATCTCCACAACACAGGATAACAACAGGATATCCAAGAGGAGGCCCAGTGAGGGCCCATTTTCCATAACACGGGAGAAGTCAGAGGCCTCGAACCAGGACTCATTGCAATGAACACTTACTTAAAGACATATGGACAAAAGGGTTTACTGCATGACTCACTGTGTCACACTACAGCTTCCATGACAAGTTTTGTTTTGTTTTGTTTTTGTTGATGTTTCGGTTTGGGGGTCATGGTTTTTCCTTTTATCTTTGAATCTTGAGATATGTATGTTCCATTTGGAATATTCATTGATATCAGAAAATTAGTAAAAGGATAACACCAACTAACAATCTAAGCAACAGAGGAGAGGCTACCTTA